TTTTTGAAATTGATGATTCTTATATTTTTTTAATTTTGGTCACTATGGTTTACAGTATGTTTGTGGTAGGAATTCATATAGTAAATATTCCAACATCATACCCTTTACCCTTGTGTCTACTTCCTTCTACCATTGTTCCAGGTTCCCTCACCCACTCTCCAAGCACCATGATAAACTTTCTAAAAAGGCAAGTTATCACTTTCTGTTTCCTTTGGGTATTTACCATTTTGGTATTCTGTTCCTTCATAATTTGTATATAAGAGTGGTGATTTTTTTAGCTTTTCGTGTCACACCCAGTGATGCTCAGGGGTTAGTCCTGACTCTGTACTCAGAAATTACTCCCGGCGGTGCTTGGGGCACCATATGGGATGTTGAGGATCGAACCTGGGTTGGCCACGGGCAAGGCAAACGCCCTCCCCACAGTGTTAACACTCCAGCCCTGAGAGGTGATTTTTTGTCCCTCTCTTCTGACTGACTTTATAATATTTTTACACCCATCCACATGGTAGCAAATTTCATAATTTCGTTTTTCCTTTCTTTTTAAAATTTACTTGTGTTTGGGCCAGACCTGGTGGTGATCAAGGCTTACTCCATGCTCTGTACTCTAATATCACTCCTGGTGGGGTTCAGAACTACTACATATGTTGTGCCTGGAATTGAATTTGTGTTTGCCACATACTGGGCAAGAACTCTACTCACTTTACTATTACTCTTGCTCTGATTTCATTTTTTCTTATGTATGAATATTATTCTATTGTGTATATATATGTACCACCAGTGTCTTTATCCAGTCATCCAGTCATCTGATCTTGAGCAGATGGGTTGTACCACAATTTTGGCTATTGTGAATCATGCTGCAGTGAACATAGAAATGCATATGTCTTTGATAAGTTCCACGAGTCAAAAACTTCCACTAGCAATGAATGAGTTTTCTTTTTTCCCCACATCCAGGCCAACATTTGTTGTTTTTGTTCTTTGTGATGTGTGCAAGTTTCGCTGGTGTGAGATGTTATCTCACTGTTGTTTTGATTTGCATTTCTCTTTCAATGAGCAATATAGAACATTTTTTCATATACCATTTTGCAATCTGTAAGTTTTTTTAAACAAATTTTCTGTTCATCTCTTTGTCCCATTTGTTGATGGGATTGTGGTTTAGCTTAAAGTTCTAATAATGTTTTACTTATTTTGGGTATCAACAGATGGATGATTAGCAAATATCCTTTCCCAGTCTATGGGGTGTCTTTTTATTCTGGCCATCATTTTATTTGCAGTACAGAAGCTCTTAACATGGTATATTTCTTTTTGCTTATCTTTGTTTCATTGAAAATACCTCTGGTTTTCATGTTATTAAGTATTTTGGCTATGTTTTCCTCAATGTAGTTTATGAATTCAGGTAGGTCTGATATGAAGATCTTTAATTAATATTGATTTTACTTTTGTGCATGGTGCTAGGAAATAATGTGATTTCATTTTTATGTGACTGACCAGTTTTTTCCAGGACCATTTGTTGAAGAGACTTTCCTTGTTCCACCTCATAGTTTTGTTTCTTTTTAAAGAAATCTATCAAATATTGTTGAAATTTATATGAAACAGTGAAAGTTTCAGAATAGCCAAAGAAATCCTAGGGGAAAAGAAGATGGGAGGTTTCTCTTTCCCTAATTTTACTTATACTATAAAGCTGTAGTGATTTAAACTAGAATAAAGGCAGACCTTCTGATCAGTGGAAGAGAATTGGAAGTCAAGAGATAGGTACACACATCTAGCATGTGTATTCTAAGAAGTTTCATTGTTTGGTAGTTCATAAAACCTTTTTGATTATAAACCAATAGTATAATGTTTAGTTTTGAAAAGCTATGCTAGTAGCAGGTCAGTTTATGTATTGTTTTTTGTATTTTTGTCACACCTGGAAGTACTTAGAAATTATTCCTGATTGTGCATTCAGGGTTCACTCCTAGTATGGCTTGGTTCAATATTGAAGCCAGGTTAGCAGCATATAACACAAGTACCCTACTTACCATGTCATCTCTCTGGCACAGTTTATGACGTTCTAAGATTACTTCTTACCATTTAAGTATCTGTGATTTGAAACTGGGCTGAAGATACTTGATCTTAAGATCTGTCTTTCAGTATCAGTCCAGTAGAAACAGTCTAGATTGTTAGTTAGAACTGGACTAACTTATTGACTCTGATACTTTCTGGATGTGTGTTCTTGAGCATATTCCTTCTCTTTTTTGAACCTTATTATTAGCATTTATTTAAGAGATATAAATTTATTTACTTCCTAAGTTTTTATGAGAATAAAATGCAATTCAAAAAATTTTCTGGTGTATAATGCATGTAAAAAGTATTTGTAATGGTTTATATGTGTGTTTAAAAAGCTCTTTATTGAAGTCAATATGTTGAAAATGGAATTCACATCTGTTTGCTATGAAAAATTATAAACTGTTAAGAGTTTGTATATATTTTCTTTTGATAGCTATTGATAATTGAGTCACAATGGACTTTTAGAATATTTAATATAAACTTTTAAAGAGGCCTTTCTGTGTGGACTCACTATTGGCACTGAAAGCATATTGTTCCTCTGTTGAGGAACTAACTCAATCGTGGTGGAAACTACTTTATAGCAAGGTCTTTCTGATGAATTTCTAACTCTTTTGTGTGATATCTAAGTAGATCTTTTTGAAATTGCAATTCTTTGTAACAATAAAAGCAATTCTATTCAGCAGAGAAAAATAAATGTCACGACTTGAGAATATGAAAATATAGTCACATCACAGTAATTGTTCCTTTCTTATGGACGTGCTAGTCCTTCACACTTTCCTAAACAATCATGTTTCAGAAAATGCTTGACTATTTATAAATGTTGCCCCATTTTGTTAATGACAGATCCTCAAAGTAAAACATCCCATTGAGATAATAAATTAATCTATTGTAAGGTAAACTAAAACCAACAACAAATCTAGCTTTGGATTTTTCTCTTGTAATCAAAATTTGTATATATATTAGCTGAAGTTTTATTAATTTTTTCTAGGAATCAAAATAAGAGAACTCCCACTCTAAAATCAATCACAGTGAATTATCAATACAAGATTATTTTTTTTGTAAGACCAAGAGGTTGCTACAATACTTGGTGCATGTAACTGTGCACAGTAATTATACATTGTGCTGAATCAAAGTTGTTGCAATTTTTACTATCAGTCATATTAAATATCGTTTAGACGATATTATTCTTTATCAATGATAATTATAAGTTATCCTCGAGTCTGTAAACCTGCAGATTCTCAACTCCACAAGAAGCTTAGTGACTTATCAGACTTGTCTAAAGGAAAAGGAAAAGAGGTGAGAACTTTGTGGCACTCCTACTATTCTGACTTTTTCACTTGGTGTGAAACATTCATATCATACTACATTCCCACTAATATCACCTTTATTATTTCCAGGGCTGGTGCAATGGCACAGCGGTAGGGCATTTGCCTTGCGCGCAACCAGCCAGGCAGAGCCGGTTTCGATTCCTCCACCCCTCTCGGAGAGCCAGGCAAGCTATCAAGAGTATCTTGCACACCCGGCAAAGCCTGGCAAGCTACCGTGACATACTCAATATGCCAAAAACGGTAACAACAAGTCTCAAAAATGGAGACGTTACTGGGCCTGCTAGAGCAAATCAATGAACAATAGGAGGACAGTGACAGTAACAGTGATTATTATTTCCAAGGTCATATATTGACTTTTAAATTTTTTCAAAATATCTAAGATTAGGACAGTAATGCTATGTGTGAAGGGTTGGATAAACTTTACTGAGGAAGAGGCTTTTGTTTATAGAAATAACACAGTTTCTTCACAATATATTTTCTTGCCACACACATGCCTTAAAGTTAAAATTGCTGTTGTATGTTTCTCTTACTGACTGATATCCATCATTTCACTTAGAAATTTTACTTCAAAGAACTGAAAAGGATTAAATACAACTGCTCTAAATTCTGACTACTACATCCTGATCCTACAATCTTAGGTTATACTATGATTTTAGATGGATACTTCTATTTAAGCCCAAAGATTCCTTTCCATATATATTCTTGTTCACAACCCTGTGTTTTATTGATTTTCTACCCACATTTCAAATCCCAATTTATAGCTTCCTTCTTCCCTCTCCTAGAATTCTTTAATAACCAACCAGGGTAAAATTTCTTCTAACTCGTTGAATAATTAAGTTCTCTCTCATGTATTTTACTTAATACTTAGTTATTACCTAGTGTGAGAGTAATCTGATTGTGTAATAGCCTGTTATTCTCTTCATAATTTGACCATTCTTACTTATTATTGTTAGTTACTTGGGATCTTGAAAAGAAATTTAACTAAAAAAACAAATTATGAAATTCATGATAAAGAACTAAAACCTGGTTTTATTACATAAAAGAGAGAAAATGTTTAATATTTTATGTTTTGCAGAGGAAAGCATTAATTGTAAAAGTTGAGACAGTTAATGTAGTATATATATTGTTGATTTATAATGATGTACACGTATAGCTTAGGTAATGTAATAAAGCAATTCTACTTCAATTACACCTTTTATATATGCTTTGTTTTGTTTTGTTTTGTTTTCATTTGGGGCCACACCCGATTCTCAAAGATTTGTCCTAGTGCTGTGCTCAGGGGATACTGAGGACAAAAAATGGGTAGGCAGAGTCAAGCACACTACCCACTGCACTATCATTGAGGCCCTTTAATCACACCCTTAAAATGTTATAAACTACACAAAAATAACGTTAGTAAAATGGTGAAAATATGGAAATAATTTGAACAGTCTATGTGTGTCATCACAAAAAGTAAAGTTAATGAAAACTTCCACTAGAACTAGTTAAACTACACTTATTAGGAGTTATAAAGTGGTTTTTGCCTGGGGTCAAGAGAGTTTGACATACATAGCTTTTCTCTTCTTCTATCAGATATCAGGATCTTATAGCAAAGTATAAGTAAAAACTTATTTTTTTCCCTCGACAGAGAAGAGGAATGCATTCCCCCACTATCATAAATTATGCAGTCAAGTTTCCAACATTTGGAGAAATCTCAGGGATCAGCACATCTAGAGTGCAATGGATACGCTGAACAATTGGGAAAACTACCTTAATGACAGTGGTATCTGCCTTGCCAAGTAAGTATAGTACAAGTTTTTGATGACAAACATAGCTGGTAGAAACGTTCTCATATTTTTTCTTTTCTTTCTGAAGAGTAGTAGTTTGAGCTATTAAATTTGAAGATGGAAAATTTAGGACTGAGATAACTTTTGTTTCAGAGATACTTTAGGTGCAGAGATTTTTGTTTCAGAGTTCATTTGGAGAAAGGTGAGTAAAATTGGGAGATTTCCAGTTTCCCTTTAAGCCTAAATTCTTCAAGTAAAATTTGAAATAGGCAGTACAGAATCTGTATCTCACCAGAAACTCATTTGTCTCAAGAAAACTTCATATTTCTCTCTTGAGGTCTTTCCAATATAGAGGTAATAGATACACTATCAATAAATGCATATATAAAATACCAAAGTAACTTCTCTGTTTAAGCAAACATATTCTTGAAAATATTTTTATAGCTTCCTCGGGTAGTATACATAACACAAAGCATTATCAATAGTAAGTATTTTAGAAATACTTTATTGAATCTACTATACCAGGGGGCCTAAGTAATAGTACAATGAGTAGGGTGTTTGCCTTGCACACGGCCAACCAAAGTTTGATCCCTGGCATCTCATATGGTCCCCTGAGCACCACTGGGAATAATTCTGGTGTGCAGAGCCATGTGTAATTCCTGAGCATTTCTGAGTGAGACCCAAAAGCAAAACAATAAAATAAAAAGAAAATAAAAGTAGTCAAAAATAAGAAAAAGCTTATGACCTAAATAAAACAATGTTGTATAATAAAAGTCTAATATAATATGGTTAATTTAGCATGAGATAATTCTTCAACTGACTCTTACCCTTCTTTTACAGTGAAATTCAATCTCTTGAATTCTATGGAAACTTAGATTTTAATAATATTTTAAATTCCTCTGCTTCATGAAGTTTTTTTACAGGAACAGACTAATCTGAGGCACTGGGACATGAAAGAAGAATGTTTCCTGCCTAAGATAAAAGTATAAAACAGAACATAAGTATCAGAATATATATTCAAATGTTGCAGGTAGAGAGATGGAGGGATAGTAGAACATAATGAAAAAAAACATTGTCTGGAAACCACACCAGTCCAAAGTTATGAGTGCCTTCGATCATGAAGATACCTTTCCATGTGAAGATACTAATAGCCTTTGGGATACAGAGTTCTAGGCCCAAAGCATCCACTGGCCTCTCTGGAAGGAGAGGGACCAAAACTGTAAAGGCAAAGATTGTTATAAGAGCATAAAATGGACCACAATAAGTTCAAAGCTTTTCTTCGATGAAAATAATCAATCCCGAGAAACTTCAGGCAAAAGCTGTCCTCCCGTTGTTCATCAATTTGCTCGAGCAGGCCCAGTAACATCTCCATTATGAGACTTGTTACTGTGTTTGGCATATTGAATACTCTCGGTAGCTAGCCAGGCTCTCCGTGAGGGGCGGAGGAATCGAATCTGGCTCCGCCAGGATGGCTGCGCACAAAGCAAATGCCCTACCACTGTGCAGATAATATTCATATATAAACCATCCCAAATTTATTCAGTGTGCTCTCTACTCTGGAAAAGCCACTTAATGTAGCACAAATGTCTCCTCTGCTCTCATATTCCCTAAATAAACATGTCTTCTTTCACTATTCATCTTCTTCCTAAAATTCTTTTCTGGAAAGGTAGGTACAGCCTGGGGCCAGAATCTAGGACTGATTTTTCTCGTCCTGCAAAGAGCAACTCCTTGCCCCAACTTGAGGTCATAAATTCCCAAGAAAATTCTTGCGTGTTAGGGATTAACTCCCATGTCATGATGATCAAAGACAGTGCAGGTGCAGTTTGAGGATTGTCACATCGTCCTACTGAGATGCAAGGTCTGCACAGTACTGGGGCTATTTATAGACGTATATCAGTCCTAAATCTTTCACACACTTCCAGGTTGATAAAGGTGAGTAAGGGGGACTGGAGAGATGGCACAGCAGATAGGGCATTTGCCTTGCATGCAACTGACCCGGGTTCAATTTCCAGCATCCCATATGGTCCCCTGAGCATGGCAGGGAGTAATTCCTGAGTGCAGATCCAGGAGAGTAACCCCTGTGCATCGCTGTGTGTGACCCTAAAAGAAAAAAAAACACAAAAAAAGTGAGTAAAGAGGCAGGCTACTCTTGAATGTGCTATTTCTTTACTCCCTATTTCACTGAAGTTGCTCGAGCGGGCCCAGTAACGTCTCCATTGGAGATTTTGTTGTTACTGTGTTTGGCATATCGAATACTCTCGGTAGCTTGCCGGGCTCTCCGAGAGGGGCGGAGGAATCGAACTCGGGGCAGCCATGTTGGCCGCTTGTAAGGCGAACGCCCTACCGCTGTGCTATCGCTCCAGCCCACTTAAGTTACCTGAAACAAATATTTACCTATCAGAAATAGTTTTATATCAGAGTGTAGTTGTAGACATTGAAAGCTGAAATTCAAGGTAAAATAAGGCAGGAACTAATTGGAGAAAAAAAGTAAGGAGACACAAATTCATGAAAGAAAGAAGAATTTGGAGTAATTTGACATGAAGGATCTAAAGAGATTTAGAAATGTATTAATTAGTTCTAAAGACTACTGAGATAGTCATATTGAGGAGAGTGTAAAGAGGTTTTTTTTCCACAACACCACTCTCATTTGGGTTTGGAGAATTGTTATGTGTTCTGTTCTGTGTACTATGTTTAACAATGTCTTTGACTTCTATACTCTAGACACAAATAACACCCACATATCTATTGTGAGTTTTTATGTGATAAAATTGTCTTCAGATTTTATGAACTGTCTCTTTTTATATAATGCTTATTTAATTAATGAACTGTGATTTACAAAGTTATTGATAGTTGAGTTTTAGGTATTTATTTCAACAGCAATCCCACTACCAGTGTCAACTTCCCTTCACAAGTGTTCTGTAATTCCCTCTCCATCCCCAATCCTGCCCTATTCCTCTGTTTGTCAACTTGACAGTAACATTAAGAAGTTCCAGGGATTGCACTAACATTTTAAGTGTTGTTGAATCTGTGTTTTGGATATATGGCTATGCCACTCAACCATTTCACCTCTGTAACTGAAGCCCTGATGCCTGTTCATCCAGTATTTTCGGTTCTCTTCTTTCCCCCTTGATTTCCTTTCTTCTCTGTCTTCCTCTCAAAAACCTGAGGTCAGTGGTGAGTTTGGGGAGAGGGGCAAGATCACAGAGGTAAAGAACATTAGGTTAAGGGACTGGAGAAGTAGTTTAGAATTTTATGATCCATAACATATAGATTATATTTCCAAATGTAAATAAATTTTGTGTAGATATAGATAATATTCTCTATTGACATTTTTATCTCATATTTACAAAGTGGTAACAACTTTACCTTCACTTTTATAAAAATTAATAACTATTGCCATATTTTTTCCCTGTGGTAATAGTAGTTCCAACAATGGAGTGATGATAAATTCCATGTGATCCTTAGGTCAGGATATATTTTCAGGGACTCCCATAAAATGAAGCATTATATCATCAGGCAAAGAAATATTGAAAACATGTCTGCCATTATCAAATATGTCTGAAAAAATTTCTAAATGAGTATAAAAGCACTTGGTATTCAAATATATTTTCAATATTTATTTGGTGATCCAGTTTAGGTATTGAATATGATCTTATGAAATTTTATATGTCTGTGTTTTGATTTTCTGATTTTGTTAGTTTTTTGTTTGCTTTTTCATAGAATAAATATGGAAAGTTAAGCAAGGTAGCTGCCTCTAGTTACACTGCTACATTAATGTTATTTTGATCTTGAATTTGTCCAGTTTTAAGAGTTTACATTTATTAAACATCCATCCTTTTCATACAAAGGAGCTGAAAATATTACATGAATTGTTTTCTTAATTTATATGCTATGTCTTTAGAATTCACACAATGATCTCAAACTGTCTTCTTTTATTGATTTCCACAATCACTCATTTTAATAACTTCTCTTGGAGAGCATAGTGCTACAAAACAACATTACCTTTCTAAACTCAAGAACATCTTTACTGACATGAAGATTTATTGGTCAATAGTATTTATAACACTTTTCCCTGTTTGTTCTAAGCATAAACAGAGCTACACAATAGCATTATTATCTCAGAACAAGTAACTACTAATCCCTTATCATTTCCTGATAGAATATTGGCACTTCTTTCTCAATTCAATAATAGTTTTTTACAATATTATGTCTCATAAATTAACGGTTTTGCATAATTTTCTCAAAACCAAAATTTGTTCTAAACCTTAACTACTTGACTCATGGAATAATTAGCTCTCTGGTAATATATATCTAACAAAAGTTTCAAATGTTTTATTTTAAGAGTAGATGTGAAAATTTGGTAGATGGGTTTCAGTTATAAGTGTCGTCTAAGAAACTGAATCATATAGTTCTTTCATCCAAGAATAAACTTGGACCATTAGTATTATGATCCTAACCTATGATACATAGATTCAAATGTCATGTAAGTTGTGTGATAGAGTATCTGGGCTTGGGAATATATATATATATATATATATATATATATATATATATATATATATCCGACAAACAGATATCCCACACTCACTCTGATATAAGCAGTTTTTAGTCAATGCTGTTCGGAGAGCCCGGCAAGCTACCGAGAGTATTTGATATGCCAGACACAGTAACAACAAAGTCTCCAATGGAGACGTTACTGGGCCCGCTCGAAATGTTGGTAAGTTTGTCAGTCTATTTTGGGTTAAGTTTCAATGTTGGGAGATCTTTGATATGCTGATTTTATTTCATTTTTTCTTCCTTCAATAGAAAACACTTTGGGGCATGACCAAATATTCTAGAAACTCAAATTTGTTAGGGGCCAAACCTGTAATGATATCTAGAGTATTTCTTGATTCTTATCCTTAGAGTGGCTCCTTCTTGGTTTTTATTTTTATACCATGTTCCACAAAGTAGTAAAAGTGACATAACATTTATTTTAGTAGAAGTAAATATGAAACAATAACATAGTGTAGTTCTTAAT